CCAAAGGGAAATTAGGAAAAAGGCACTTATTTAATTATGTAATTGGGACACATGCTATTTGTAGCAAAAAAAGCTGAAGTGCAAAGTGCTGCCAAGGCCTTGTGATACTTGGAATCAATACTTAGTACAAAGACAAAATAGTCTACTGACCTTTTAAATTGTTAAGCGATTTTTATTTCCCGTATTTAACAAACAAGATTTAGATGCTACAAATTTAAAGTACTAGATTATATTAGGCTAAAACTTCTAAATGACAAAATAACAGAAAGGGACATACTTTACCATCATCCTTTCACTTCTTAGCAATGTAAGAACTTCTCTAGATAAGAAAGATGCATGCCTAGTTATTTAGATTGGTATTCCTTTAAATACTGTATCATCACATATTAAGAGGTAATTGGTTCTGCTACTTATTTTCCAAAAGAATGGCTTAAAATCAACTATCCTAAAAACCAAAATAAATGTTTTTGATGGTTATCCTCATTAATTAGTCTTTGGCCAACAATCATCTACAGCAGATCACCAATTTCATGACCTAGGGAATATTTTACAACAAATTCTATGTTAAACAAATTAGTTTTTTTTTTTTTTTTAAGATTAAACTGAACAACTGACAACTCTAAATCTACTCCTGGATTAAATTATCCCAACCAAGCTCAATGGCACAGAATTTGAGCACCTGAACACTCCTCTTCTCTCCTAATAAAATAGTTCTAAAGTTTTCTCATGAAAATCTTAGCCTTACCCAGACAGACCTTAGCCTATCTCTTTGGATTGCTAGTGGCCATTATCTATTCAGGCACACGCTCCAATTAGGTTTCCAAATTTTCCAACAAGAAATGTCAACCATCTCCACTTCTTGCTCAGTTAACTGTGAAAGTACATGATCTGGATCTGACCTTCATCAGTAAGAAATCATATCTAGACTGTAAGGTCTCATTAGTGAATGTAATTCACTATTTTAATATATATTCCATAATATTGTTCAACTTTTTACCAAAAGCTCAGTTTGCAGCCTACTCATTCTCCTATGTAGTATATTCTATCTCTGAATCATGCTAAACTAATAATGTATTTAGATCAAACCGCTTATTCCTGCATTGCTATTTGGCATTGTGCCTTTATTTTGGAAAGGTGTGACTGAGCATCTTAAGAATGGCAACCTCTGTAACAGAGAATTTTTTTTTTTAAGATTTTATTTATTTGACAGAGAGAGACCCAGTGAGAGAGGGAACACAAGTGGGGGGGTGAGAGAGGGAGAAGCAGGCTTCCCACAGAGCAGGGAGCCCGATGCGGGGCTCGTTCCCAGAACTCTGGGATCATGACCTGAGCCAAAGGTGGATGCTTAACAGCTGAGCCACCCAGGCGCCCCAAGAATTTCTTTTAAAAGCACATGAGAGAGAAACTTCTTTGACCCTCAGCAAAGCTGTGCTCTTCTTGATGAACACATAGATTTAAATGTTGAAATGTAGGGAAAACTATGAGCAAATAATTAGAATTGCAAATGTGATAACTGATAAAGTCTCCCAACTTTTTTTTTTTTTTAAAGATTTTATTTATTTGACAGAGAGAGACACAGCGAGAGAGAGAACACAAGCAGGGGGAGCAGGAGAGGGAGAAGCAGGCTTCCCACGAAGCAGGGAGCTCAATGTGGGGCTCGATCCCAGGACCCTGGGATCATGACCTGAGCCGAAGGCAGAGGCTTAACGACTAAGCCACCAAGGTGCCCTTGGGTCAGTTACTCTTGATCTCATCTATGTATTTTGGTGAAAAGCAATCCACTTTAAGGAGATAAAATGAAGTAATTATTTTCTTCAAAAAAGAAAAAAAGCTACAAACAATTTAAGATGGTATTCCGCATGTCTAAGAAAATTCTAAAGTGGGCAACCCCATTAGGCTTAGCCTTAAAACTTGCGGTTGCCTCTGGATACTGCAAATTATCATATTCATTCCTCCCATAAGCTGCCACCAGTGTTTATATATAAGAATTTTTAAGAACCTACTTGGCCACATTTGACAAACCTGTTTTATAATACAAGGAACACTAGACTGGAAGTTAGCAGACCTAGGTTTTCATTCTGGCTTTACCATTTATTAATAACAGGAATTTCTGTTTTTCCATCTGCAAAACGAGGATTTTTGAGATCATTAGTTGTTTCAAAATTGATAAGGGATTTTGAGAAAATCAGTTGTTTCCTAATTGTGTAAGTCCTTGGAATCCTGGGGTAAAGAGCATGGGGTGGGGAAGGGGGGATGTTAGGTCAAATGGGCCTTCTCAACTCATATCCCTATAGTTTCATTGGTTCACAAGAACATCTTAAAACACTGAAAAAAAATACAATAAAATTTCTAATGTAAATATACAAAAAGGCATTTTTTAAAATATAAAGAAGGAGAACTTTTGTTTCAGCTCTGCTGAAATCTCATTAACAATAAAGCTTATGATAACTAAACGTGGGGAAAAAAAACTAAACTGAGATTAATTCAAAAGAGCACATCATTGCAAGATTAACAGAAGCATGACATGCAGCAAAAATATATGGTCCTAAAGTAAATCTACCTCTCAGGGACAAACTAGATAGACTTTACAAACCAAATTAGAGGCAGAAATACTGGGCCTGCTCAAAGTTAAGTGAATGTGTCAAAAGCTGGGACTGAACTCAAAAGAACTTGGCTCTTAGGAATGAGTGCTAGCCATCTCTGAAGTACAAGTAAAATATCTTTACTTAAATTCCACTTTTAAGGCATAGAGTCAAATAAAATATCAAAAATAATCAGGAATATTATCTCCACAAAATTTAATGTGGATAATAGTGTAGGAAAGTGATTCAAAATTTTGAATATATTCATATTTGATAAAAGTCAAAACTTAAAAGATTTCCAGTGCACTAACATATTGACTGTCTAAAGAACACTTTTTCCTGTGAAAATGCTTAAAGCAATTGCTTAAAAAAAGAGGTAAAAAGGCAGTATTAACAACCGATTTTCTAAAACCATAGAGTAGAGACTTAATAACACACAGCCATTCTGAATCACAGGAGACAGACAGAAAAGTCTATTTCAAACTACCAAAAGATAACTTTTATCATATGAAATCACTTAACCTCTGCTCAAAATTATTTAATAAACTCTTAATTTTTAGAAAACTTTTTCCAGACATGAAATCCGCCCATTCTTTCTAGTCATTCTGATTTCATTAATTCTATAGATGCCAAATTGTCATCAATTTATGCCAGTCTTTTCAAGGAAAAGTACATGATGTATTATGTTAAAGGGGAAAAAGCTATGTGGGAAATGCAAGGAAATGACAGTTAAAAAAGACTAAATAATAATGAATAGTGAATTCAAAAGTAATTTAGGCTAGCTCAGTCTTGTGGTAAGTTTAAAAACTTTTGGAACTTTAAATCTATTTTACCACAGAAACAAAGTTAAAAATGATAGCAAGATTCCTAAGTGTACGCACCAAAAAAAAAAAAAAATTAATTGGAAAGTTCCAAAGTTCTACAGACCGTAACCACCATTTCAGAATCTTAATGTGGGGTGCCAGAAACACAGATAGTCCTAATAGCTAAGAAAAGGTGGAAGGGTCTCATCGTCTTCTGACACTACTCTCCAAGGCCCCATCTAAAATCTTCTAGAGCAATATTTACCAAAGTTGGTCTGGGGACCTTTGCAGGGATCCCAAGATCTGTTCCAGGGACCAAAAGGTCAAAACTATTTTAACAGTGTTATTATTTGAAGATGTTAAACTTTTTCTCAATCATTCTCCCATGAGTGGACAGTGGAGTTTTTTTTAAAGGCTGTATGTATGATACATGGCACTTTAACAAACTGAACATAAAAGCAGAAGTGAGAATCCAATTATCTTCTATTAAGCCAGCCATTAAAGAGATTTGCAAAATATAGAAAATGCCACTCTTCTATCTGGTTTTCTTTTTGCTTTAGAAAAGTTATTTTTCATAAAGTATGGTATTTATTTTAATACATATGGGTTTGTTATAGATATTCTTAATGAAATAAAAAATATTTCTATAGTTATCAGGCTTAATTTATTTTAAAAGATTTTATTTATTTATTTTAGAGAGAGAGTATGTGAGTGTGAGCTGGGGGAGGGGCAAAGGGAGAGGAAGAGAGAGAATCCCAAGCAGGCTCCACACCCAGCACAGAACCCAACACAGGCTCAGTCTCAGGACCCTAAGATCATGACCTGAGCAGAAATCAAGAGTCAGACGCTGAAACGACTGAGCCACCAGGCACCCCCAGGCTGAATTTTGAATGCAGTACATATCAATAAAAATTACATAAATAAAAGCTCTTTGGGGTCCTCAGTAATTTAGAAGAATGTACAGTTCCTGAGATTGAAAAGTTTGAGAACCACTATTCTACACAGTAAAGTCAAGGTCTACATTCCTTGAAGTCACTGGTATGATTAATGTTGGGTAGGAGGGTTAGGGACACAGGAGCACCTATAGAGTTCTGCAATGAAGACCTCGGGAGAAAATTCTGAGGTGATAAAATTCTGATGATAAAAGCAGAGCTGGAAGACTCTAGAGCCTTCATTTCCTCTTCCTATTCATCCTTAGCATAGTAGATAAATGAGAATTAGTAGCAGTGTCAGGTAAGACTATGAATAAAGGCACAGAAGCTGAAAAATAAGAAAAGTGTCTTAGTAGAAATGATTAAAGACTACTAGGAAGTCCATTTTAACCACAGAATGGGTTAGGTCCACAGATGTAATAGGAGGTAAGGCTACGGGAGTAAGAGTCATACTGAGGATAACCCTGAATAAGTAATATGCTTAAGTAAATAAACTTAATGAGGCAAAAGGAAAGCTGCTGAAGAATTTTCAGCCAACTGGTGATAAAATCAGAGTTTGTAAGTGCCAAAGTTTTAAAAAATATTTTTATCTATTATAAAATGTGAAACGTTTTAATGTCCATAAATGAAAACACTGATCATATAACTAAAGACTTCAAATACATAAAAACATGAAGACTCACCATGTTGTTTCTGTTTTGGATTATACATTTTCCACCACCGAAAAATTATAAATCCATCTTGAATTCTATGCAATATAAATTACAAAAAATGAAAACTTCAGTAACAATTTACTCATTTAATTATTATAAAAAGCAGGCAATTGATAATGAATATGAAAATACAGAAAATTCTCAACAGATCACTAGTATACATAAATGCTTCATAATCTCTAGTTAAAAAAGGAAAAGAGAACTTACGTAGCTCTAAATTAGATTATTCTATTTAGGTAAAATTTAATACCAGATCATACATAATAGGAAAATTAAGTGCTAACAGAAAAACTTTTTTTCTTTTATAAATGATAATTTTTAAATGGTGTAAAAACTATATAAACAAAAAGCCAAATCTTGAAAGGGGGACATTAGGATGTTAACAGCAACTTTTAAAAAGATACCCCTTCTTCTCTGTAGTCATATATAACCTCATGCCTCAAAAGAATGAACTTATAGCCTCTCAACCTTTACTTTTTACTTTTCTTTTCAAAATAATTTTAGACTCACAAAGAAGTTGTCTCTACTATTTTAAGTGAGGTATGAGTATTGCCAAACCCTACCACCTCTCAACTAATTTAAAACTTTCAAGTTCTAAGTAACAAATGTTAAGATAATCACAAAAACAGAGTAAGCTTTTCTTTCAAGGCCTACAGAAGAAAGAACATAGCAAACATAATAATTGTCATTTCTTATTATATTCAGATTTGTGTTTCCTCCTTACTGTAAAATTAAAGTAGCTAACAGATACTAAACAATTCTTAAAGCTTATTACCTATAATAAGGAGCTAGTGGATGAGTTATCAGCATCCCTGATTCTTGTTTTATGTAAAAAATGACAACCATGAATTCTACAAGAAAAGTGGTCAGGTAATTTAATGGCTCAAGTGTTCATGAATGAAATGAGTTCAGGAATGAAATGAGATTATTCGTTTCTTTAAGCTGCTATTTGATAAACTTTGTGCCAGTCTAAACCTTAGCTAAATTAATCTATTGATAAAAATATTTTTAAACATCAATTCACCAGATATGATTTACAAAAAAAAATATTTTTGATTTATGGATTTTAAAAAGCAAATCATATTAAATATCATCAGAAAAAAATTTTTACAATATTTCAAGTTTGTTTAAAATGAGTTTTTGGGTTTTTTTTTTACCTAATAGACATGTCTTCCGTAATGTAATAAATTTCACGAACCATGACTTTTCCAGAAAGAACAGAGAAAGAGAAGGACCCTGTCGTAGGGGGGGAAAGAAAAAGTGATTAATGGAATTGTTTTGATCCAGAGTGAGCACTTAAAGCTTAAAATAATCTTAGCATTCAGTTTTTTCAATAATTAAATGTTCTCTCCTGACTCCCTTTTGATATCCTTCCAGCCTTACTAATTTTCTATTGCTCTTTCCTCAAATATAACAAAAAGTACAATAAGTACCATCACTATGAACTGAGCTACTAAATAACCATATGAAGACTCTGAATAGCTGCTTCATATGAATAATTCCCTTAATTATGCACAACTTTAAATAAACCCCAAAGCAGTGACTAATTCACCAACTTTCTCCATTAATTTCTTTGACTCCAGGAACCAGTCATTGCCTCAAATTAGTGGAAGATGACTTATGTTTGACAGAAATTTTATTTATGTCCACTAAGAAGTACTCTAAGGAAGGCTGGAACGGTTCTAGACAGTGACCTCTCCCCCGTTTTCCCATTGATTGAGGGTTTTCCGAAGCATATTGGTTCCAAATAGACCCTCATATCTGCAAACTTCCCACTTATGAGTAGTTGGAAACTTAAATTAACAATGCAGGCCACAAAATGAAATGCACAAAATGATTCCAACTTATAGATTTTTTTAAGTATGGGTTACTGAAAAAAAAAAAAAAGCAAAAACCTCACTGTGCGTTAGCAACTTTCTTTGGATAGTAGAATCCTGAGAAATTTTTATTTCCATATTTTACATGTGCCTATATTTTTCAAATTGTTTTAACGAGCATCTTTTATAAGAAAAAAAATCCAAAAGTTACTATAGAAACCCTTTAAGAAATAAGAATGAGGTAAAGAACTTAACCAAGTGATAGAGTCATAGAGTGCTGCATGAGAGAAATTTCAATTAGGTTAACGTTCATGAAACAAAGGTAAATTTCTAAAGCTACTACCACTAATAAAATATAAATTTATAATATATATCTCAAGATTATGCAGGAGAAAAACATTCAGTGTTACTCAAACTTACCAATATGGATATAGCCATGTTTGTATAATCTATTAAGAACCAATGTTAAAATAAGCCCAACATTTCGAGAATTGTAATATGTGAGATAAATAATCCATCCACAGGATAAAATGGTAGCTGTTGGGAGAAAAAAAAATGCAAAAGAATCTCACTATAAGTTTCCTTTACAATCACCTTAATCTCAGTAAAAATTTATCGGTAAAAGTTCATTTAATTACACCCAGGCCTGGAGTGCCTGGGTGGCTCAGTCAGTTAAGCGTTTGCCTCTTGATTTAGGCTCAGGTCATGATCTCAGGGTTGTGAGACTGAGCCCCACACAGGCTCCATGCTAGGCATGGAGCCTGCTTAAGATTCTCTCTCTCCCTCTCCCTCTGCCCCTCCTCCCTCTCCCTCTGCCCCTCCTCCCGCTCCCCTCACCCGATTTTTGCATGCAAGTGCTCTCTCTCAAAAAAAAAGAAAGGAAAAAATACTTCCTTTTTTGTTTCCTTTTTCACTGTTTTGTACTCTTTGTTATTAAACATATAAACATGTTCTGGAAAGAGAAAGCCCATATTTCTGAGTATTTTGAAGAATATCCATCTTTATCAGGCTAAAAGCTCATTCCCAAGCTACTTCCTACAGGCTACAGTCATTTAAAGAGAAAGAAAACCAATGATTTTTTAAATCAGAGAAAAGGTAGTGTTTTGTTTTTAATCAATAATTTCTGCTTTTTAAAAAAAAATGGAAAGAAGTGAGAATTTTGCCCTATTTAAAGGCATATCTATATTAAACAGGCTATTTTATACTATTTTGCTGTAACTGATAAGATAATAACCCACTTTTAAAGAATGCCAGTGAATATGCTACAGTAAATGGTATTTCAAATTTGACCCATTTTTCATGAGAAGTGTATAGTCACCTATAGGATTCATAACATTCCCAAAAGAACCTAGTTCATGAATATACAAAATATAAAAAAGAAGAAAGCATTTTCTATAATAAATTTCCTTTTACTTAATCATTTTAAAAGTATAACTATTTTCTAAATTAGGACAAAGTAATGTAAAACAATTTAACATGTACAACCATTTAGCAACATCACATTAAGTTCTTAACTTTTTTAAAAAGTTATTTAATGTGGATAAAACAAATCAGTCACTGAGTCAAAATACATTTTTTCAGGGTAGCTTAGACTGACAGTGATAACTCTGATGTAGCAAGTGCTATGATTTGCCCACAAAAATTATTTCTAGAACAATTCTTTTGAAAAGTTATTTTGATGATATGTCATTATTTTTTCTTTGTAAAAAGTGTTTTGGTTTTTTTTACTAAAGGATAGTTGACACATAATGTTACATTAGTTTCACGTATACAACATAGTGATTTTAATTTGTCATTACATTTTAAATTTAAAGACATTTTGTGCTAATTTTTACCGTAAATCACTGTGTCAAGAGCAGGTTATTGTGGGCCATTCAGAAAGGCAAGAGGTATTTGTTGAGAAAGTATGCTTCCAGTATTATACAACCTGAGAATTGTGGCCTTTTCACTGCATCATGTTCCACAACCCCCTTCAATGTCATGAGGCCACTTAGTAAAACAGCAAGAGTAAACACCCTTGATTAAACTAAAAGAGAATTTTCAATGCTGCTTTTATGCAATTCTACTTCATATGAATGTTCTGCATTTCATCTTACTTTTCTGGCTTTAATCAATGATAATTTATAATGGCTCACTTCTGTCAATTAGAAAAAAATAGAACTCAAAGTTTAAATGGTAATCCAATCCTACATACAAATCACAAATAATAATTCCTTCTATACACATTTCACCTCTACCCATTTCCTTAGCACATATCCTGTGGTGTCATGAAAGAAGCATAAGCATACACTCAGAAAAAAACAGCTATGTTACCTGTATAAGTTATTTAATCCTTATGGGCCTCAATTCCACAAGTTAAAAGCCTGCTGCCTTCATAAGTTTGCTCTGAGCATTAAGTGAGATGACATATGCAAAATGCCAATGATACGTGGCACACAGAAGATATTCAATAAACATCATTACACTCTCTTTCCCTCTTACCCCATCTTACCCTTTCTATTTACCCCTCTACCTTTCTAATTGTTATGCTGAAATTCAAATCAAATACTGTTCTTCCACAAAAACTGCCTGGACAATAACAGCCTACAGTATTCTCTCCTTTCCTGATTATTATTTTGTATTTCCCCCTATTATTTGTTCATAGTCATTCATTCACTCATATTTCCCCCTTCTCTTTGCCACTGATTTATACACTGTTTTTTTATTATGTCTATGAACCTAGAAAGCTTCTGAAATAGTAGACAAAAAAAAAATTTTTACTGGCAGAGCTCCATGTCAAGTATGTAAGGAGTGAGTAAAGAGATGAGATTAATTAGGCATATACACTCTATTTTGCTATAAAATATATTTACCACAGGGATTTATCATTTTTAAAATAAAACAAACTGTGTGTGTGTGTGTGTGTGTGCACGTGCATGTGTTGAGATGCGGGGGGACAGTGAAGGAGTGGACCTGAGACAGGAAAGATAAGCTAAGTACAATGTCTTTCTTCTCCTCCCACCTCCCCTAAGTCAGACAAAGAGGAAGCCTAAGAAAAAGAGCCCTTCAGAGCACTTGCCAGAACAAATATTCATAGAAACATAGATTAAAACCTTTCTTCCAAGAAATAAACCAATGGTATTGTAAGCATTTCAACTTCAGCTAACTACTGCTTAAAATTTGGCAGTTGTTAATCCATACATAAAAAACAATAAAGTGTAAGAAAATATATTCTACTTACCAACAAGGAGCCAAACAACATTGGAATTGTGTTCTGTTAGAAAATCTTCTAGTTGAGTGATACTAGGAACAATACTCTCATTCTTCCTTTGATCCATTACTGAAGTTTCTCCAGACCAGCATCTAAAGGCCTAAGAGTTCAAAAGTTAAATTTAGAATCAGAGATTTATTAAACTGCAAGGTAAATTATGTAAGGGAGAAAAAAGGTGAATTTAATAAAAGTGAAAATTCATTAAACTCCATTCCAGCTCCTTCAGTAAGAATGAAAAATACACAACAAACAGCAACAAAGCACGTCCACATTTCTATATAAAATGTAAGACAACATATCACATTTTTAGTGTCCTGATTTCACCATTCTAAGAATGAGTAGAGACTTGGGCTCAGTTACCATACTCTGGCTCCAAATATGAGGGACATAATTACTAAATCTAATCAAAGATATTTATCTCAACAATAAGAAGTATTAATGATCTACATTAGACAAATTCATCTATACTTGTCTCAGAAGCTGCCACTAAATGTCCTATTTATATATTAACTTATATTCATCCTTCTTAACCTCCATCAGCTCTGTATTTCCCATTGTTTCATGGGGAAACAATCTTCCTACTTTGGATTCACTCTGAGTAGAGTTTGGAAGGTAAGCAGATCTCCTCCTATCAGATGCAACAAACAGCAACAAAGCACGTCCACATTTAGATGTATTGAGAAAGAGTTAGATGAACTGAAGAGTAAAAAGTGAGGAAAGAAGTTCTTATTTTATGATCAAAGAAACAAGAAAATCATCCCTCTGTTAAAAATTATCTCTTATGTTAATACAGCATTAACATGACTAACCCAACCTACCTATAACAAAATTATCTTGTGATAAATCAGAAAAAGGTAAACAAAACAAAACAACAAGAAAAACGAGGCTTAATCACAAAGAGAGATACATGGTTAATGATCATGTAAGGCAAAATAGCATAGGTGATTTTATAGAAAACCAGAAAAACAGATTTTAAAACAGGAAGAATACATGAGAACGACTTTCTAGTTGAAATTCAGTACAGCTGATTTGTCAACTTCCTAAAAATGTTCTCTATTTACTCACCAGAGTCCTATCTTCAGAGATCACAAAACAAGTTTAAAAATTGGGTTAGACAACATTGCCAGATTACAATGTTTCATATTTCTAAATTGTCAAAATGTTAGCAATTCAGAGGCAAGTTAAACATCTCTTTAAAAAAAAAAAAAAAGAAAAGCTCAACAACAAAATGTTTATTAGTAATAGTGATAGGGAAACCTAAGGGTAAAAGAACCAGAAAAAAATGTTTAAATGTTTTCATTTTTCAATAACTGTTTTTTCCTACAGTTTAGAAAATGAGTAAAAAAATGTTCTCATAGTGAACAGCTTGGTAGTGACCCCAGGTTGGGGGGTAGGGAAAATGAGTGCAGATGGTAAAAAGGTACAAACTTCCAGCTATAAGATAGTAAGTTCTGGGGATATAATGTACATCATGGTGACTGTAGTTAGCAATACTGTATTATATATTTGAAAGTTGCTAAGAGAATAGATCTTAAAAGTTCTTCTCACAAGAAAAAAGGTTATAACTATGTGAAGTGATGGCAGTTACTGTGGTAATCATTTTGCAATATATATATCAAATCATGACGTGCACCCTAATATAATATTATATGTCCTTTATACCTCAAAACTAGAAAAACGTGTTCTCATACTTCTCAAAGCTTTGAAAAATGTCAACTGGCAACTTAAAATTTGGGGGCTAGCTTTACAACATGAGTTTCTCTTTCTTTCTTCCTTTTTTGTTTTAAACTAAAAAAAAAATAAGGGGCGCCTGGGTGGCTCAGTTGGTTAAACGTCTGCCTTCGGCTCAGGTCATGATCCCAGGGTCCTGGGAAGGAGCCCCGCATCAGGCTCCCTGCTCATCGGGGGGCCTGCTTCTCCCTCTCCCTCTACTGTTCCTGCTGCTTATGCTCTCCTGCTCTCTCTCTGTCAAGTAAATAAAATCTTAAAAAATAAATAAACTAAAAAAATAAAAAAATACAAATTTTAAAAGGAAGAAAACACTGAAAAGTCTTACATTCAAAACCAAAAACAATGACTTATATGCTACAAAGTAACATCTGTGCCTATTTCATATTTATTGTTACAATTTTATAGTAATCAACATACCACTGCTGATGAAAAGATCCCCTACTAACTCCTGGGGATGTTTCATGAGGGTTGTATCCTGGCATTCAGGTTTCCACATAAAAAGGTGATCTGTTTTGAATCAAATCCAAGGGGGAGTGATCTATCCACCAAGAGGATCTAAAGATCTCATCCAAAATCTCTACCACTAACTACTGTAACAACCCACAGCCAAAGAGAATGAGAAAGAGGGTGCTCAGGTTGCAAAGACAGAAAATTGCAGTATCACAAAGTTTACGGTTTTCCAATTATTAGTTAATGCAAAACCTTTAAGAGAAATCAACAGATAAAGCCTCAATAGTTAAAACAACATTTTGAGTATGTACTGAAGTAAAGGCTAAGACTTAATAAAGGTCCTAAGTAAGAAGTAGACATTCTGATGAAAAGGAAGTTAAGTCAAAGCAACAATGGACACAGAGAATCCAGATGGAAGTGGGGCTATATGCTTAGCCACACTGTTTACATGGTACACTATGAATTCCTTAATGGAGAGTAATTAGAGACTGATAAAAGAACCTACTGCATATTCTTCATGAAGCAATTGATGGAATAACAAATCGGTTGTTTTCTCTTCCTCAATAGTTCAGTCTAAAATCCATAAGGTAAAGCACAGTAAGGTAAGCATCTGCATTTGGGGAAAAGATGGACAGGAGTCTCCACAGCATAGGGGGATGTCAGAGCCCAATAATATTAAGTATCTATTTGTGTGATGAAGAGGCTAGTGAAAGAATGGCAGTGTTTCAGGGTATCAAAGCCATAGCAGGATGAGGAGACCATACTTGTAGGGAAGAGGTCAGGCACAGGGTGCTAGAGTCTGAGTGGAAGGAAGACAGCATCAGCGGTGGGGGGAAGAGGGTGAAGAAGGAGACCAGCTTAAGGTGTTGGAGCCTGAGCAGGGAGGTTGCCTGATGCAGGGAGTCAGAACCCAAGAGGAAAGCATCAGATCCCAAAGAGATAAATAGGGCTTCCATGCAGGAGGGCAATCTGGAGTAGTGTGTTGATGTGGGAGCAGGATAAGGAGGGCACACACCCAGGAAACAGCCCTTGCAGGGTATGGGGGAGGGGGTTAATTAAGTAAACATATTACGGATAATAAAAGCCAGTTTTCTCACTGTTGGAGGATATATAAAGGAAGAATATTAGAATTAATCCCGTGGTGTTTGATAAGAACTAGAGGTATAGTTCTCAGTATAAGTAGATACAGAAATAAATACGGCTACAAACATGTATATGTATGTATACACATATGCTCATTAAAAGGTCTGAGAGCAGCAGCACTGCAATTAAAATGAACAGAGAATTTTGCTCCTAAAAACCATTTTCTATCAAGAAGAAACAGGGCTCCTTGAAGAAATGGCTGATTCCACAAATAGGGCAAGGAAAGTCAAGATGAGCCATGTTTTCCAGAAGGGAAATACCTGAATGATGGGAACATGTCAAAAGGACACAGAAACCAGCTTGAAGAGGCTCCCAGTGGCAAAATCTGGGGCAATTTAAGCATCAAAATAAATAATAGTAATAGATTAAAACCCATTTAATAAAAAGAATCTGTGAGTCCATACCAATATAAATAATCAGTTAAATTTTGATAAGCAACAGGATTCTCATATCATCTCAAAATAACTCCCCTCAAAATAATTATTAATGACAAAGGGGGAAAGAAGAACTTTGTGAATTTAATTAAGGATCAAAGAAAGTAAACATCATCAATATTAAGATAAATCAGAACTGTACACTCCCTTTTTAGTTTTTTATTTGATTAGAGTTGACACACAATGTTCCGTTCACTTCAGGTGTACAACACAGTGGCTCAACTTCTCCAGGCATTACGCTATGCTCACCACAAATGTAGCTACCATCTTAATAGAAGAACACAGCCTCACTTCTATGATATTCCCACCAAAGATGCATAACCTGAACCTAATCTATCTTGCCTCTCTCTTCTGATAGATTATGACCAATACAGATTGTTTTATTCATCTTTGTATTCCCAGTACTGGTGACAGTGCCTTGAACACAGCCACTGTTTTCAAGTATTACATCATTTTAAATGGTATTTTTATCTAGTTCATAAGAAAATAACACTGATCTACATGTTTCAACACAAGCTCTCTCAATATTTTCATGATTCATCTATATTCTCTTCATTTTTCCTGAAGTCCATTATATTTACTTCAAAACTGCTGTCCACATTAGAATAGAAATTGTGGCAAGTATTATTTTAGTGACAAAGAAAAGCATGAAAATGTGAAATGGTTCAAGCAAACAGCACAAACCAGAAATTTATCAAAGTTCCTAATTTAATACCACCACTACTATACCATTTTAGGAAATACCTTTCCAAGAAGATTACTTTTCAAAATGAATTACCTGTAAAATCTTTTCAAATACTACATTCACACTGTTTTATTTCTGCCTCACTGGCATAAAGAAAATAAAATTATCAAACATCTAATACTTCCATTAACACTTTTATAGACAGAATTCCAAATCTTAATTTGGTCCTTCAAAAATAGAGGCCATCCTACAAATCAGTACAAAAAAATATGAATAATATGACAGAAAAATAAGCAAAATATATAGTCAATTTACAAAGGAAGATAATATCACTAGAAATGGGAGCAATCACCATTTATCACCCAGTAGTCATATTAAGTGAAAATGAGAAAGACTGCAACAACTATATTGGCAAAAATGTGGGAAAATGGTCACTTATACACAGTTGATAGATGTAAACTATCTTTGGGAAGAATAATTTATCAGATACTATAAAAATGTGTATGCTTTAACTGGGACATATCAGTTCTAGGACTTTCTCAGAAATACTCAGGCACAAAAAGATGTTTTTCAAGGAACATCACTGCAGCATCATATAGTATACTGGGAAATTTGAAAAATTGT